TTAAATCCAGTAGAATAGGTTAATTGATCAATTTGAAACTAATCTAGGTCGAGTGTAATTATAAATGATGCATACGATTCTAGCTGGCCGTCTAATTCGTTTAATTACAGAAATCTTTGTTGATCTAATTGGTCGAATCCCAAATCTGAGTAGAATTGTTTACAGTTTTCAGAGGTTCCAAAGTTATTTATAAAAAAATACTTACAAAAAATGTTAATATGCAGTTATTCTCTCATTGATTATATTTACATAGGAAATGCTCATTCAAAAATAAACTTTTTCCTCATAAAATGACAATTGATAAAGATGTTGTGTATTGATACACTTACAAAAATTCAATAACAATACATTTTGATACAAATTCTCAAAAGCGTTTACACCCAACTAAAATGACAGATAATTAAACGAGTAATAAAAAATAATCTATATTATTTTATGACGTAACCTGTGTAGTTATACGAGTAGACTTTGAAATTATAGTGTCCAATTATCTGAATTTGCAATCAAGGGTTATGGGACATGTGGCTTCAAAATCAGTTAACGTCAGATGAGCCGATAAACGTAGGAAATAGAAAATCATCTTCATCGATCGCAAAACACATAATTGAGACAGGGCGTAAGATTGACATCAAAACAGCCTTCTAAAGGTTGTATGGAAATGTTGAAAAACTTATTTTGAGATTTATGGAGGCCTTGGGTATTCGTAAATTAAAACCTCCCTTATATGTACAGAAACAAGTTGTTATAACCTTGAATCTAACCTGGTAATCTTTAAGCCTAGGGTAATGTGAATTTTTCCACCCTTTCTTATTCTTTTTATATTACTTTTATTTTCCCTCTCCTTTATTTACAATTATCACCTTATGTCTATTTGAACTTTTATTTAATTGACCTTTTATTAATCTTCATATAAAATGACTTGTCAAGTATATGTGTAACCATCTTGTTCAAAATGTATAACGCAAATACATCACATTTTTCAGATCAATTACGTCTTCTCACTGTTCTGTCAAAATTGATAAAAGGGACTAATCGTTTTAAATATCCAACTCTAGATCAAGACAAAACCAAGACACTTTTTTAACTGAAACAATGAATGATGAATGCATAATTGAATGATTATCGGTCATTTGAAGCCAACAATTGATATCTCATTAATATAAACACTCACAATTATAAATCTCAAAAATAATATAAAGTATAAATGTGCAAGACATTTTTTGTTATGTGTTGAGAAAGCCCCATCAGAATTTAGTCGAATGAAAAATAAGCAGTCACTGATTCTAAAACCAGAAAACTATTTGGATGTTGTGTGAAATTATCTTTCTATGTCTTCATATATATGAATACTGAAATGGTGTCTCTTTGAACCGAATGAGAAATGCAGATTCTCATTCGCACACTTGTTTTGTGGTGTAGGAGTAGCCTGGAAGAAAGTTAGGGGCGGCCAGATCAAAACATGGCAAAAATCCATGAAGTCACTGACAAGTGGACTAAGTCATGTTAGTAGATGTGGGCTATCTGTTTGGGGTCCGCGAGACGAAGGTCACCGATGGTTAGAGACCTTGAATGACATGGCTCAGAATCGTTTGCAATGGCACAGGTGCATCCACTCTTTGTGTTCTCTCTTATTCCTCATAATCTCTATCTTTCTCCTTCTAAATTTATCTCACTGAATGATACTTTTCGAATCATATCTTTGCTCCCTAATCTTCTGCATTGCTGCTAGTTATTGTACTATCTCTATCACTCTTGGAACTGACAGTTACGTCTCTGTGCTGATGGGGCATGGCAACCTGAAATGATGTACTTACGTACGAAGTTCTGCGTTGTATCTGTCTGTCTGTCTATTAGCACACTCTTTCGACGATTGTCGATTAGCCAGAAATCAAAATTGATTTTCTCAGTGTCGATTAATTCAAATCATTCTTATAATTAAATCGGATTCAGGTACTGATTCATTGCATCCAATGACATCAACTTGATAAGTGCAAATTTTTGTAGCTTATTATAAATGAACACTTAATAAATGAAGCAATTATTTATTTAATTGATTCAAAATTTCTATTGGGACTCTTCGATTAGTGAAGTTCAGATATGTTGAGTTTGGTGTAGTGAATCACTGAACACCGGGTTTCAAACTATTGTGAGTGATTTGTAATTAAATACAACTCATCGGTCTAGACAATAAACAATTGCCAAAAAATTTGAAATCTTTCAGGTTGGATTTTCCTGATTAGAGTAGCAGTTTTATGCGAGTGAGTAATTCCATAATAAAATTAAATAGCTGTTCAATACTTAAATAGTTACTTTTTTTTCTAAAATTAGAATGAGTTTATAATTTTTAAGCTTAAAATCAGGTGATCGAATTAGATGAACAATCCCACATGTTTATTTTTAATTATACAGTAGGATCATAATGAATATTGTCTTTATTAATGTTTACATTTTGTCAACAATAATGTATCATTTTCTTCCCATCCACATGGATCATCTTCAAAACGCAAAAGTCATATCAAGTATTTGTGCTTGCTTTTTTGACTAGAAAATCAAGTGAACTGGCCCAGATTTTGAGTGTTTTAATATTTTTCTTTCACACAGTTTTAATTATTCGTTTTTTCTTTTTGTAAATATGTCACATCGTCATAGTTGCTAGCATTTTTTTTTTGAAATGGGAAAATGTTTTCTCTGACTAATTCCCCAAATGTTTTTTTTCTAAAAAATTATGATAAATATATATATCTCACTTATCCATGAACCAATCATGCTTCAGTGTGGGTGTTTGGTATATATATATATATTTGTTGATAAATTAGTGAGATATTATATATTTTCTCTTTAATAAATTTAAAATATATTCGAGACACAAGGTCAATTATTAAAATTTAGTAAATAAATTGCATTCAAAATAAAATCTGCTGAAAAAATAACATTCAAATTACCTACCTGTTTATTGCAGAAAAATTTTGGAATAAATATGTTGACAAACACAATATTAATAAGTGAGTAATACGTTGGAAAAACATGATACTCAATTATATTTTTATTATTGTTGTTATGGCGAGAAAAATGATTGTACTTTTTATAGTTATAGTTCATAGAATGAATTTATTTGTTGTGTTAAATTGTTTCAAATTAAACGTAAATTTATTTTTAAAACTTCCATATCAACAGCAATATCTCAACCGATTTTGCCGGTGAACAGATTTGTGGTGTAGAGAGTTTAATAGCAAGGTCATAATATTTTTTTCATTTTCCGACTATGATAGTTTTTTTTTTAATCGAGAGTACAACGAAGGTCATCACTTGTAGACTGATGGTTTACAGGGTAATCACAAGTGTTAAACGAGTTTCTTATCAAGAGAAAAATCAATTTATTCAATATTTCTCGTGTTTAGTGAGAAGTGAAGTTAAATCTAGGTTAAAATTATCTACTAATTACCCTCAATCATCCAAAACCGAAGATTTGTCTTTCGAGATAATAAAACAAGCTGATATTTCGGAAATAATGTATGAACTTTTAAAGAGTCGTTGAAAAAAGAATCGTGATTATTTCATTACATTTCTGATAAATTTTCTCTAGGTCATTTCTTGAAAACTTTAATCATATTAAGAATGATATGATGAAGGCCATAAGATAGGACTACTAATTTTACTAAACAGAGTCAATGTTAATGTTTGGATGATTTTACAGTTTATTCATGATAAATAGGTGATTAAATCCTAATTATACATTGCCGCAGTATTTGAATAGTTAATAAATTAATAATGAGACGTTTTTATTTAATCAGTCGTAATTTCAAACGGCTGAAAGTTGAAGAAATGAGAATGTTTACTATTTAGCTGCATGATATTAATGTTCAGAAGAAAACAATAGTTGATTTAATGAATAAAACGTAAAGATATTGTTTACTGTGAAAATTAAAATAAATTTCAAAAATCTACAATCATGCAGCTATTTTTAAAACATTTAATTATTGGTTTTAGCATTGTATGAATTCTCAGATTACTGAAAGTGATTTTTACAATTTATATTCTTGTTGATTGGCACATTGTAAAGTAAAATGGTCATTTAATTTAAATTAAGATTTTTCCTGATATAATTAATCTCATTTTGCGCAACCGTCAGCTTAAAACTAGTTTTCACACTAAGTCGATTAAAAATTGACCCAGGTAATAACAAATTGCAGTTTGCTTTATGTTTTACGGTTGTAGAAAGTACTTCATGGTTGTCATAGATTTAGGCTTTATTATAAATGCATCTACACTGTTAATGGTACCTAATTCCATCACAATATTTGAATCATCATGTTCACTTAACACAGTTGAACCTACTATCTCTAGGTATTACTTAGTACGCTGATGTCATAGAAACGGATTTTAGTGTATAGTTCATAGTGATAATAAAATACTGTCGTTTCAATAAATTTCTAAATCCCAAGTTGCCTGAATAAAGTTTCATCAGTCTTCCAATAAAATACATAAATAACTGGTAATTCTAAAATTAGTTTAATGATTCGAATTACAAACATGGAGTTTATTGTAGTGAATTTTAATTTTTGTTTTCCATTCTTCAATATAAATTGTTTGAATAAAATTCTTATTCAAACAACTGTTAACTTATATATATATATATATATATATATATTTGTACATATATATTTGACTATTGAATGTACAAACATTATTATCATGTTAAAAACACTATTGTGTGCAAATCAAAAACTAAATGAATCCAATGTGTAGGTGTGTGAATGATACAGCCCCATTTTTGAATTATAATTTGATGTAAAAATTTATTGAACCAATTTAATCATGATGATTCATTAGTTATGTGCTTGCTTATGCCGACACATCTCAATCAAACTTATATCGATAATGAAGAAATTAAGAAAAATAATTTGCACTGTAATTTAAACATGAATTAACCAAAATCATTTATTATTCCAAAGGTTACGATGTCTACTCATATCATTCAGGTATAAATTTTAGTCATTGAGATGTTAGGAGGTGAGTGAAAGCAGCCAACTTCAAGGTGTATATGAAATAATAAAGAAATGATTGAATCTTGTAGACTGGAACTCGTGTCACTTAGTCTCCTAGTATGAAAAGCCATTCGAGTCATGACTGCAACCATTTAGGATTCATACATTTGCACCTAAGTAATCACATTATAGTGCTGAGTATCATGTTTTATCTGGTCTTGATCGAATCCTATCTATCAAGTGGTCACTAGTCAAAGTGACTAGGCATCACATATAATTATTGTGTTTGAAATCTTATAGTCATTTCTTTTTTAAGACCGAAATACACTATTGTAAATGAATTATTGTGAAATAAATTTGTTAACACTAATTATCATAATAATTAATCATTTGTAATATTTCAAATATTTGTTAAATAGTTTTATAATTGAAAACTATCTTTAACTAAAATGAAGAAACATTGACATCCAAATCACTAGTTTGAACCATACCCTGTGCACTTTGGTTTTGGCAATCTAGGCCTGATTACACTACTTTGCAGATAAAAGAAAATCATTCAAAAGTCGGTAGATAAGTTCATTTACTCAATAAAGTGATTTCATGTTTGTTTAATAGAATGCAGAGTAAATATTTAATGCTTTGTTATTTATCAAGCATTTGTTTTAATTGTTGTTGTTTTATTTGAAAATAAGGTAAACAACACTAGTTTATTCAATGTTCAATAATAATAATTATTATGCAAACAAACAATTTTCATACAGTGAATCATAGTTGAAATAAATGAATGAAACATGCAATATTTTTATTTATGTTCATTCTGAATGGTATTTTTTTAAAATTAGATTTTACGATAGAATTAAATACTTTATTGCTGTCATCCACTATACTACCAGTGATAAATAGAAGATAGTTTCAAAAACAACATAAATTAACTTTAATATAAACAAGTGAATAGTAACTCAGTGAGTGATCAAAACGTCAAATATTCTTCACGCCTGAAACAAAGTATTTGATTTTTATCCCTGGTCACATTATTCTTAAACACTATTGGAGACGTTTTGAGTTACGGTCATACAGTAATCCAGTGTTTCTTGGTTTTCATTAGTTACTTGATTTTAAAGTTAGCTGGTGAAGTACATCTGTGGTGCGCGCTACTTATAAGTAGTATATGACGCGAGTGTAAATGTAATGTCTGGCAGCAGAAGATGGGGGAAGATCAAGAAAGGAAGAGTGGGAACACAATGGGATTTGTATGAAACGCATGAATAGTGAAATATCAGACAATGGATTGATGATGGATTGATGTTTTGCAAATGAACCGTTACGATATGGTTTTCCTATTTTACTGAGTAACTCCGTAATTTTCGATAAATGCAATTCGATTGCCCTCACCTGTGTTCTCCTTCACTACACATCTGCAGAATTTTAAAAAATCTACACAAATCACCAAGTCAATGTTTGATGGATCATGGTTAGCTGCTTTGAATTAGTAGATAAAAAAATCAAACGACTTTCATTAGAGACTATCACTTTAGGAGTTAAATTCACAGTAGAACATATTTCTTATCTAACATATTACTAAATTTATGAATTTTAGTTTTCATCTCAAACTATCAATAACTCGACAACTTTAGCTTTGTAAATATATTTTCAATTGATTTCTTTTAACTAGACAACCTATGAAGCGATAGTCAAGAATAAAATGTAATGCTTGCATAGTTTCTACTCAGGGAATTATTATTAACCCCTAAATAATCTTTATTTAATAACACTTTATTATCAGCCAATTGATAAGTATAAAGTAATTGTTTATTTAGTTTGCAAATATCTTTTCATTCAGCAGTCATCTAGACTTTGCATTTCTTGAAAACCAATCTTTGGATAATTTAGAAAAGCTATCTAGACTTTTTTGATTTCGTAATAAAAATATCGAGAATATTCAATGATTTATGTCATAGATGGACTCAAACAGCACACTGAACAGTTGTGTAATTAAGTTATGGGTGTCGATTAATATCTACCCATGTTCTAATATCCCAACTAGATTTGGATATATAATTTTATGTAACATAGGTGAAATTGATTGCCATTGGGGAATTTAGTCGAGTTCTGCATTTCTCAGCACTCACCAGATTCACAATTTGAAAGGGATCAGTTCGTCCTGCTCCTCACAAAATGCAACCAAGACACTGATCGATTTCATCTAGGGCTAAATTAAGCAAATTGTAATGTCACTGAAACCTGGACATGATGACATTAATTGTCATTCTGTGTATTAAAAAGAATATATATATATATATAGCGAGATAGAGAGACTTTTAACAGAGATCATCAAACTGAAAATTATTAAAACAACTGTTTACTGTAATCATTACTGTTGAATATTCAATACTCTCAATGCTCAAGCAGTTTTATTTGTCAATCCAAAAATTCAATGTCATGTACAAACAACAAAGAGAAATAATTTAAAACAATAAAGCAAATTAGCGAAAAATTTTTTAAGCCACAATATTGAAGTTCATTTATTCTTTTATATCAATTAATATTTTTGTTTTAATTTTAAAAAAAAACACTTTATCTGCTTATTGTTCAGTAGTAAATAAAAAGAATAATTCTCTTTGTACATTGTTCAATGATGAATTTTTTTATGATTTTTCTTGTTAATCAAAAAGAATATATGCCGTTTAGACAAGGTGCTTTTAATTTGTTGCACAGTTCAATAATTGTTTTTGTTTCACAGATAGATATTTACTGACGAAATTTAAATTAGACAAAAGTATTATCTCCAATACTGTTTGAACTAAATATGAATGTGAAATTATTGAGGAATTTCAATAGATAAATATAATCCAATATACAACAGAATGATTGTGAATTATGCTTATATAATTCGCGTAAGTAATTTCAAGTTATAGATGGTGATGCTGACTAGCTCAGTTGCATAGATAATGGTTGATTTAAAAAACTTGAATTATTCGATAGCTTTTGTCATATATGCATTCGAAGAGGACTGTCTCGTTTGATATAACGATTTCGTATCAAATGTATCACTAAGGCTGAAAAATACAAGATACATGTTACGTCCAATCTGCAACTTGTCAGATGAATGTATCTGCCGATATTGTTTGAGTTGATTTTAATGGATAGCACTAAAACACTTTAAAAATCAACTTGAATTAATAATGCATTTCTAATTAATGCTTTATTGCTAAAAGTTTAATTTTGAGCTGTTCTAGAAAATTGTGATTCTGCGCCTGTTTTCCGTGCTACTGTAATTCCAAGTATCACCATCATTTTTAGTCGCCTTTTAACAAGTACCTATACATATATATATATGTTTATATGTTAATTAATCGACTTTTGACAACAATAAAAACAAACATTTACTCAATCTTTGTTAATTATTTTGTTTAATTCTATACTTCATTTCAAACAAACAGTACTTATCATTGATATTATCATTATTATAGTGATTATTGCGAAGTACCTTTATTTTCTATCTGGTATTTTTTTCAGTCCAATTCTCTTATGTTTACTGTATTGCCAATGCTTATGAGCGAATAAAACATACTACTGTTTATCTTCTCAGTAACATTTACATCATCCATAAACTAAAATTAGTAAAAAAATTCATAAGTACTTCAGTGGAACTTGATAAAAAGTAATCAACGCAGAAATCGTATCAGCAGAATAATATAAATTCATTTATTTCATCATCATTCATCTCTATAGCGCAGTCGACAACGCTAAAATTTGTAGTGGAAACAAGGCAAAACTGTTTCTTTTTGGATACATAAATCTGATTTAAATCTTTCCATTGTACCATATTCCGCAACTGGTTTTGAATTCCTTTGTCTACTGATTATTTTGAAAGGTTTAGAGACTTCAAAGTTTTATCCACTGTGGATCAGTTGAAGTGTGATTGCCCTGTTGAATGCGTTCGTTCGTTTAGTTTCTTTTTTTTTAATGGAAAATGTCCAAAGATGCTGACAAAAATGCTCCTTTCTGTCCTTCCGATGTATGCTGTTTGTCACGGGTATATAAATTGATAAACACAATTGAAAGTAACATCAAGTGATTTTCCATATTTGATTGTTTTAATGAGCATTTAGTTTGATATAAAGAGACCAATTTTATCGCTGTGTACCATTGTTTTTGCATTGTCTTTGGTCTTAAATCAATGTTGCTGGCTATTTTATAGCCTTTGAAGTGAAGCTTTAAGATGGCAGGTTCTTTCTCGACGGTAGGGTGTTTCATTTTCTTTTCTCCTAGTTGTACGATGTTTGGATAACCATTCTCACGTAATCACTGTTCAATTATGGTCATTTTCTTTGATACTTTTTGATTCTCAAAGCATTAATTTCGTACATGGTTGCATAGAATTTCAACCAAAGTTCTTTTGTAGTTTATTGGGCAGAAGCAGTCGAAGTACCAATAAAGCCAGCCCCAAATACACTTCCGATCATTCTTACATCTGATCTTCAATAAACAGTTTTATATCATGTAATTCATTCTCTGTTTCTCTTTACAACATTTTTATTGTTGCTACAATGTTTGCTACAATATTTAACTTATAAATAATTGAACAATTGAACTATTTCAATTCATCCGTATTATGATCTCGTTAAATTAACTTATCTTCACATTAATAATTAACACTTTACCAATTTGAGTGTTGTCGACTGCTCTGTAGAGAATTCATGAAATAAATGAATTTATATTATTCTGCTGATACAATATCTGTGTTGTTTATTTTAATCTAGTTTGTAAATAGGCAAAATTGTATGAGAATTTAATGAAATGTCTTCTTTATTACCCAAATGTTTTCTATTGGTTCTAGGCATAAAATAAATTTCAAAACTTTATTTGAATACATAATAAGTAATAATAATTTCAACTCTTTAATTCCACTCCATTAGAAAATAAAGTCATATTTACTTACCTTGAATTTTCTCTCTCTCTCTCTCTCTAAATAGCCTTAGTCCTAGATACATTTAAGGCCTTCCATTCTGTTGTATTGATCAATTATTGGAAAATATGAGTAGTTACTAACTTTGTTTCATTAAAATTTCATTTGCTTATTCAACAAAATATGTAACAATGTAAAGATTCAACGTGTCTTCTTTGGCTTATTGCCTTGTCACCGGCTTTTTTTTTACAATCCATTTGAGAAATAGTTTATTGTTTTTGGTCAGTAATCTGAAGTAAAGATAACATTTTGTTTTTATTGGGAAATTGTATACTGGTATGAATTATTGTTGGGTCTATCAATGACACGAAGTACACTTTTGATAGTGTATGCGTATGTTCTATTTGTTGATACAGTTTCTGTTTGATAATACAGATTAGGTTTATGGTAATGAAAGGAACATAGTTCTAACATTGACTTATATCATCATACCTTCCAAACTGTATAGTTCACGCGTATCGTTCAATTTCGGCCTAATATATATGTCTTTATAACGAATAAATGACAAAGTACCAGTGTAGTACAACATTTCATTGAGTATTTAGTGTTAAATTTCACCAGTCTCAGTTTTGTTTTCTTATCATCTTGAAGAAATCTATAACCTGGCACAAATATAAATCTATGGTATTCCTAGTAACTGGCAGGAGCAGTGAGCAATAAGTCTGAGTTCTTTCAGTTATAGGTTGAGAGGATCTTTACTCACCCAGTCAATTATTGTGATTCCTTCGTCAATGACGTTTCGGGTGTGGTGCGCGCTACTTATAAGTAGCATATGACGCGAGTGAAAACGTTATGTATGGTAGCAGAAGATGTTGGAAGATCAAGAAAGGAAGAGCGGGAACACAATGGGATTTGTGTGAAACGCACGAACAGTGAAATGTCAGACAATGGATTGATGTTTGCAACAGTGTTCTCCTTCACTACACGGGTACTAAAGTTTTACAAGATATCATCCTAATTTGAAAATATAAAAATCCTGTGGAATAAGAATGAGATGGCCAGAATAGAACAAACAAGTACTGGGGTTTTATGCGAATCAGTAAAACGAATGTCTTCATCTTATATCACCTTATTCGAGCCAGAGAAACACCAAAACGTTAAAAATTACAACGGAAAATTATTTATTATTATCGCTATGGAGTTAAAATGATAATATTAAACGAATCATGAGCTTGATTATCTCAACAAAAATTAACTTTATCCAAAGGCCTGCGGCAGTCAGCATTCGATATAATTCCTAAACTTCGTACAATGCTCGTTCTGATAACCGTTACCAGACATCACCCAGTGATGTATAAATCAGACGGCGAACACGAAGCCTTTAGGACATTTATTATCGCACCACACCGATCACAAAACCACAGGCACATGATGCGAAATGATATGCCAGTGCCAAAAACCAAGCGAGCGAGCGAGCGAGCTGAATTAAAAATGTACATACTTATGCATAGGACAATGAATGAGTCATCGAATTATTTAAGCATTTAACACTAAAGCTAGTAGAATGAAAATGTGCGTAGGCGGTAAGCAATCGTCAAGGTCACATGCTCATACAAGTGCGAGAGTAATAAAAGTACAATCGTGCAGATAAGTTGTTGCTGCAAGAATGACCCTGTTTAATCGGTTAATCAAATGGGCTTAACCAAATTAAACATAAACAAGCTCAAATATAGTTGAGGGTCGATAATAGCTACCCCCCAGCAAACGAAGATACAAAATAGTAAGTCTGTGTTCATTAATTTTATGAGATCAATGCGCTCTTTCTAGTATCACAATTCTTTCTTGAAACAATTTACGCACAGCATTTGTTTTTTTTTTTTTGATTGACTAAAATATAAAACAGTGGTTCCCTTTGATAAATTTGAATAGAGAAATAAGAAGACATATTTTGTGAGATAGTACCATTTCGTGCTTTCTCGTCAGTCACATACAAGCAACATGTTATTTGTGTAAATACAGTTTTGAAGATAAGGTCAAAATTTCTTATTTAGCATGACATTCACTCACTAAAACCATGGTAATTTATTTGTGGAATTTATTTGTGACTTCATAACTTCACACAACATAAGAATACCCATTCCTACTACCTATCTTCGAGATCTAATTTTGCTATGCACAAAGAATATAAAATTCTATTTCCAAGGTAAAGCATATACACAAATCGATGGAGTGGCAATGGGAAGCCCTCTCGGACCTGTTTTAGCAAACATATTCATGGGAATGATAGAAAGGCAAGTGAGTCACTTCATCGATGGTATTACACTTTACAAACGATATGTCGACGATATTCTTGTCATATTACCACATTCTACAGACATTAATGAAATCAATGATTTATTTAATGCGATTCACCCGAATCTGAAAGTCACTTATGAGGAAGAAAAGAATAATGAATTAGCCTTCCTCGATATCCTGCTCCATCGCCGTCCAGACGGATCAATCAGGCGAAAAGTACACCGCAAACCCACCTGGTCGGGACAGTACCTCCACTTCACTAGTTTCTGCCCCATACAATGTAAACGTCCTGTTGTCAAAACTTTGTTCGCTCGGGCAAGTAGAATCTGCACTGCTGATACATTGAACGACGAATTCAAGCTTATTACTGAGACACTTAAATAAAACGGATATCCCGAAACGTTTATTGGTCATCAGAACACAACTACGACGAAGCTGATAGCAACTGTTGTGCCCAAGAAACCAGTGTACCTACAGTTATCTTTCAAGGGTGATCATTGCATGAAAATTACAACCAAACAGACTGCAGCTGCAATAAAAAAGACCTTCAATGCAGCTAATCTGAGGCTTATCACAACAACTCAATCGATCTCAGTTACCCCAATCAAGTCTCCAAGACCGATTCAGTCCAAATCCCACTGTATTTACCAATTCACATGTAACTGCGGAGAAAGTTACTTAGGGAGGACAGATCGCCGATTGGAAGACAGGATAGGGGAACATATTCCAAAATGGTTAATCAAATCCATGATTCATCAACCTAGCCCATCATTTCAAAATCGATCAAGAAACCCAGCCTCGTCCATTGCAAAACATCTAATGATGAGTGGTCATCAAATTGATCCAAAATCAGCCTTTAAAGTTGTGACATGTAATCAAAACCCACACACACTAAAACTACTTGAAGCTATCTTGATTGGTCGAAAAAGTCCAACTTTATGTGTTCAATAACAACTGTATGTTGACCTTTGTTTACCATGGTTCTAGTGAGTGAATGTCATGCTTAATAAGAAATTTTGACCTTATCTTCAAAACTGTATTTACACAAATAACATGTTGCTTGTATGTGACTGACGAGAAAGCACGAAATGGTACTATCTCACAAAATATGTCTTCTTATTTCTCTATTCAAATTGACTAAAATATACCCTGAAATTCGTTGAACTTACTGTAAGTTGTTTGTCTCTGTACTATACTCGTGTCGAAAATTTTCGGCCATATTTTTAAATAATCTCCCGACCATAATTTAGAATCGATTATCGATTACTAACTGCTTGATAAAATGATTCAAATGTGTTTTCATTTGTATTTCTATCTGTTTTAGGTATTTTATTAATTATTCATTTAGAATTGATCCTGGTTCATTTAGTACCAATTGATGAGAATAAATTTACATTACAACGTTATCGACATAAACGATGGGCATATTATGAAATACATAAATGTGGTCGTATTAAAGGATATAGTTGTTTGGAACATCGTCATTGTTATGAACGTTATCTACGTCATGATATGGTTTGCTTTGAAGTTTATCCATGTTTAAGTTCATGTATATTTATTGCTCAGGTAAGATATTAATATTTTTAATTAGTTTCATTGTGATTTTATTTGATTTTGTCGATATATTTTAAGATTTGCATTCTCATTTTTATTTTGAACTTATCTTTGATAAATAAATCGGTAATCTAGCGTTATTACACATTTGAAATCATCAAACATTAACACCGTTGGATGCCAGCCCAGTGGTCCGATGGTTAGGCGTTCGCGCACAATACCGAAGGTCCCGGGTTCGAATCGTGCGAGGTGCAGGAGTCGTGGATGCTGATGAGTCCCATACAGGGACGAAACGGCTGTCCAGTGCTTCCAGTTTTCTAATGGTGGTCTAACAATGATTGATTGATGATTTCAAATGTGTAAAAACACAAACCTTCAAAACTCTGCCCCAAAAAATCTAGCGTTAGTATTTACGACGATTTGAATTGTATTCAGTCTTTTAAAATCAAAACACTAAAGTTTCATCCATTGAACTATTGAATTACATGTCGATACAACAATACAGAACTCATCTAATATATTTATCATTAGTTTCAAAGGCTTTTAATGTTTAAATGTTGATACTCAGCGCTAATTTGGATCAGTTGTTTTTATTAGTTTCGAATAGTTTGTTTAAAATTCATATTCTTTTAATTAATGATAATTGTTCATTGAAACACGCTAATACATTCATTTTTTAACGTTTCAGAGTGTGAAACAGTTAATTTTGATTCGCCTTTTCCGTGTGAACATCAGCGCTAGTCTATTGATGATGTTCACAAAAGAATGTAATATACGCTTTGGATTTTATTTAAAATAGCATAACTTGAAATAAAATTAATTTCGAAAATACACGCAATGTCAAGGTATTTACTTTAGGGACGAACGACTGATAAAATTCGATCTTGGCTACAAGCAACACTTGTATGTTAAGTATCTCAAGAAAGAAACGCTAATTCAGTCTACACACAGTTTCTGAATCATCTACAAATCGCTATCAATTATAACATGAAAAAGCTTCAAATGATTTGAACATTTAATTCAAATTTCATTCAACTGTGATCAATAAAAATAAATTATTCGGATGATGCTGAAAAATCTATCTTCTGTGACTAACAACCAGCATCTCTCGTGCATAATTTAACAGTTTATGCCCCATTCAGGGTAACGTCACGCAGTAATGTTTTCTTGCTAATCGTTAAACTTTCACTGAATTATTTTTCGAATGAAAATTAAAGGTTCTTTGTTAAAAATTCGTAAGTAAGAAGTCGAAATCGAATGTACGACATAACATTAATCTTTTCTCAACCATATAGTCGACAGTGGTAAAAAAAACTTATCTGAAAAGTCAACCATCAGTGTAATTTGTGTAAACATTTCAATTTATATTGAGTAGTAGTATATGGCGATTAATCATAGTTATAAATGTTTCCCAATTCTCAATCAGTTATTTCTCTCTTACTGTTTACATTTTTGAACGCCATAGTTATATGATTATGAAAAATTCGCACAACAAGTTGATCGTTTAATGCTTACTGGAATCCCTGTCAATAATCATGATGATGCAGTGAATTTTGTACGTGAAAAAACAAAGAAATTAGCCGCAGATTTAAATATGTCATTGCCATTAGGCGGAAGAACATAATAAGCCCAATAAGAATAAGTTAGTTGTGTTTTAACAATGGATGAACAAAGAGAAAAAAAAAGATACAATACAAATGATAAGATTGGAACTCGCCACTGAAATTGAAATTGGCCAACGTGTAAATCCCCCCAACCCCCCCCCCCAAAAACAAATCACAATTTGTATAATTATCAATTATAATTGTGACTTGTGACCTCTAGAAATATTTTCCCTATACATTAAAGTATGCATTATATTCGATTTATAGAAATATATATGTGTGTGTGTGTGTTTGTGTGTGTGTATGTTCTCCATGCCTATACCGTATTTTGTACGTATTTATTACATACGTATGTATATATATTTATGTCAGTAATATCTGTCAATAATGTTCTGTATTGTTATATCGCTTTCTCCTATTATCTTTTGATTTTCATGTGAATTTACAAACATATATATATGCTTATTACTATGAATACATAGATTTTATATTGGATAAATGCTTGATTTGTTCTGATTCATATTGTTAATACAGACGATCAACCGCAATATACGAAGTCATAATCATATCAGTTTTTCGTTGCGTAATCAAGAACTAAGGATTGTGTGATAAGGAAATAATTTTACATGTATATAAATATATTTGAATAGTAAACTGCGAAATTCCTTTTTGAGAAAAACAATATCATCCTTTTAGATGCTCCTGATGTTGACAATTATATAATAACATATTTGTTAAAAAAAACTCTTGAAGTTTTCAACCACAACACTACTGAATCGCCTTTAAATAATAATAAACAATGGTATATTTTTCTATTCACTAGTAAAGAAGTCCTTTGTGTAGCTAATAATCAAATAGACTTGATGTCATATGCACTGAATAATCTTTTAAATGATGAATTCCGATTTCTGTGATGTTCAATAGTCAACAGATAATTCTCAATAAGTTCTGCACTTGGGTTTCATCAATAATTCCTCTGAAAATAATGCTCCCTTATGAGGCGCAAAGTTATTTGACCCAGTGATATATATTTATTTACAAATGAGACTACTGAAAAAATATTTTAGAATTTTTATTCGAGTTTTAACAAATTTAAACATACAAATAAGAAATTTATAAAATAATCAAAACTTGAGGATTTTAAAAATAATTCAGTACTATAAAAAAATTATAATCAATGCTGAGTAGATAGATTTCTTTACAATAACTAGAGAATGAAAAACCGCCACAATCATCCACCTCAGCTACAAATTTTCTCCAACATCTCAATCTAATCAAATAATAATGTCATAGCTTTCGATTTAGTTTCTGGTTAGCGTTTTTTTATAGCAACAGGGGTAACAGGCATAAGTAAGTAATTCAAAACAGTGGTTCTCTTTGATAAATTTGAACAGAGAAATGAGAAGACATATTTTGTGAGATAGTACCATTTCGTGCTTTCTCGTCAGTCACATACAAGCAACATATTATTTGTGTAAATACAGTTTTGAAGATAAGGTCAAAATTTCTTATTTAGCATGACATTCACTTACTAGAACCATGGTAAACAAAGGTCAACATACAGTTGTTGTTGAACACATAAAGTTGGACTTTTTCTACCAATCAAGACAGCTTCAAGTAGTTTCAGTGTGTGTGGGTTTTGATTACATGTCACAACTTTAAAGGCTGATTTTGGGTCAATTTGATGACCACTCATCATTAGATGTTTTGCAATGGACGAGGCTGGGTTTCTTGATCGATTTTGAGATGACGGGCTAGGTTGATGAATCATGGATTTGATAAACCATTTTGGAATATGTTCTCCTATCATGTCTTCCAATCAGCAATCTGTCCTCCCTAAGTAACTTTTGGACTGAATCGGTCTTGGAGACTTGATTGGGGTAACTGAGATCGATTGAGTTGTTGTGATAAGCCTCAGATTAGCTGCATTGAAGGTCTTTTTTATTGCAGCTGCAGTCTGTTTGGTTGTAATTTTCATGCAATGATCACCCTTGAAAGATAACTGTAGGTACACTGGTTTCTTGGGCACATCAGTTGCTATCAGCTTCGTCGTAGTTGTGTTCTGATGACCAATAAACGTTTCGGGATATCCGTTTGATTTAAGTGTCTCAGTAATAAGCTTGAATTCGTCGTTCAATGTATCAGCAGTGCAGATTCTACTTGCCCGAGCGAACAAAGTTTTGACAACAGAACGTTTATATTCTACGTGGCAAAAACTAGTGAAGTGGAGGTACTGTGAGTGAATGTCATGCTAAATAAGAAATTTTGAGCTTATCTTCAAAACTGAATTTACACAAATAATATGTTGCTTGTATGTGGCTGACGAGAAAGCACGAAATGGTACTATCTCACAAAATATGTCTTCTCATTTCTCTGTTCAAATAAGTAAGTAAGTAAGTAGGTTTTTGATATAAACAAATTCATTCTGTACACTATTTGATATTAGTTGCATACTCTATACAATACACTACTATTGACAATTAGTAAATATTTTTTATTACAGAGTTATGGAGGCTGTTGCTTATTTCAAAATCATGATACAATCATTGTTGGACCACCATCAGAAACCTGGAGGAACTGGATGGACATTTTGTCCTACTATGGGACTAGTCAGAAAAGCGCATCCACTACTTCTGGAAAGCGAACCCAAGACTTTTGGTCTTGCGCTTGAACGCCTAACCTCTGGACCACTGAGCCGGCATCTAACGGTGTTAGTGGTTAACTTCGATCAAACCACGATCTGGAGCACTCTCATCCACTAACTTTAGTGAGTACTGCTTCACTCTAACGGTCACGACTTCTCAATGGAATTTGGTGAAGCTTCCTCACTAGTGAGCTCATGATAGTTTGTACGAAATGGTTGAGGACATCGATTATTTACTTTCTGAATTCATGAACCAATCATTGTTAGACCGAAGGTCCTGGGTTCTTTTTCTGGAAATAATAGTAGTCGTGGATGCAATCTTATGGCAAATCCGATACCAGGACGAAACGGCTGTTCAGTGCTTCCAGGTTTTAAATAGGTGGTCTAACAATTATTCATTCATAATTTCAATAATTATTCAATAAATACTATTTGAACTAAGTCTTATCCTTAAAAATTGAAACATCGCCTACCAATGCATTTATGTAAGTGCGAATATATGAACTCACGAACTATTATCTATTATCTTACTGAGCTCATTACAACTATCATTTACACCAATCAGAAATGTTTCATTGTAACGTTTATTTTTAACTAATAATAATCATTTGAAACAGTTATTTATTTCAAATGGGAGCATCAAAACTGAAATGAAAGTACATTTAAATGGTTAGTACCAAATATAATAATTTCATTGCTACTCATAAACTAGTTGTTTTACAAATAAAAGACAATTGCCTAGTTTGTGAACTGAATTATTCATTCTCTATTAACGATGTGTAATATCTAATATGGTATTTCATCTTATGTGTAAGTTGCATTACGGAGTTGTGAAGATTGCTAAGTTACACATTTTTGAAACCATGAATTGATCAATGTTAGACCACCATTAGAAACCTGGAAGCACTGGACGGCCGTTTCGTCCTGGTATGGGACTCCTCAGCAGTGCGCATCCACAACTCCTGCACCCAGCAGGATTCGAACCCAGGACCTTCGGTATTGTAGGCGAACGCCTAACCATCGGACCACTGAGCCGGTATCTAACGGTGTTAATGTCTAACTTGGTCAATTCACGGAGTTGCGCAACCTCATACACAGTCTTCGGTAGTTACAATACCGAAGGTCCTGGGTTCGAATCCTGCTGGGTGCAGGAGTCGTGGATGCGCACTGCTGAGGAGTCCCATACCAGGACGAAACGGCTGTCCAGTGCTTCCAGGTTTCTAATGGTGGTCTAACATTGATCGATTTATGGTTTCAAAAAATCATGTGTACGTGACAAGTTCTGGCTAATCAGTTCAATTGACATTAGTTCTGACTATTGAAACAGAATTTCATAATAAGCATTTTATTTTAGTTACTTCGTCATTTATTTGATTTGTTTTACCAGTGTTTAGCTGTAATTGCAATTACTTTAATAATTTGAATATTAATTACATAAATGTCGACTAATGTAAATGAAATCATTATTCATAAGTAATATATAAATATTTATTACTAAATCCTTATTAAATATCTTTTTTTTTCCAAATTCCGATAATAGAATCATTTGTGAATGATCATTAACGATAATTATCGCTTTCAGAGTAAGCTTCAAATGTTCATCTTGGATTCTACAACTAGCCACAGATTATGTGTTCTATATTGATTAGTGAAATAAGTAACCGTAACAATTTGTTCTAATCAAATAAAAATTTAAAGAACTTGTTTGATTTTAAACTGTTACAATATATAAATAGAACATGAAGAAATTAATACTGTAGACCATTAACTTACATATTCAATTTTTTGTCTAGTCTAGTTGAAGAGAGATTATGAGGAATACCTTATCACATGGTAGGAAATAAATACTGACCTGCAAATACCGACGATAATTAGGAATAAAAACAAATTATATAAAATTAACTAATTTATTCATTATATTGGTAATTTAAACGTGAACTAATCAGCTTGTATATCATCAGTAAAATAAGCTTGTAGAAGACTTAGGTTCTGTCGACTAAAGTAGATAGAACATGCGAACATACCAAAGACTAACAACCTACTAACTCTCTAAGACTGTTTGATGTGTAAGATTAAGCTGAAAAAATATGCGGGAGTGTTATGTTCGTCACTAGGTACGCTTGAAGCTATTATGAGTTCACCTTAGTTGATAAAACGCGAACGAGACAATTACCAGCGTCCAGGTAGGCTACCTTGTATCCTAAGCTGTAAAACAGAAGTCTTGGTAAGCGAAGAAAGTATATTCTACAAACACCCAGAAATCACAATACAATCAAGCACACAACTCTCGTTTATTATACATCATAGAAACGTACTTGGGAGAGTCACAAAAATAACACACTAAAATACACTGCAGCCAATCAAAGCCATGGAGTTCCCTGGTAGTAAGTGAAATCTCAAGGTTAACTGATCAGCCCATGCTGGCAAACTTGAAATCCGGAATAAGGCATTTATCAAACGAGTTCTGGGAATCTAACTTCCCCAACAAGGAGTAACCAAACCAAAGTGCATTATCAGTTCAAAAATCTATTTAGATTGGTTGTCGATTTCAGTGAAATTCCAAAATCTCCACAACTCACACTGACATTTATCATGTCTTCATTAGTGATTAGCTTAGACAGGAAATTTCTGGAGTTCAAATAATAAGCCGTGACGAGCAGAGTTTAATCTTACAGGCTGTGAGAAAAGTGCCCATGGAAAACAATTGAAGATGGCTACACAATAGCGTGAACTGTTAGGAGTTATGCTCATATATCAATGGCTTTCAGTTCATTGGTGCACAGGTTGAGTGTTTGTGACGTCAACTGCTTCGAAGTTTTCTACAGTAGTCTTACTTCTATGATTTTAATGAAATTCAATAATCAAGACAACTCATGCTGAGAGCTTATTCATTGTTGGTATGGGCACTCTGTCTGATTAGTACATAAGCGATAATCATGTTCAACGGTTAATGATCTTAGGTGTAATGCCTCAAAACCAATCACAGTGACACAGATCTATTGATTATCTTTTATTTCTTGAGCTTTTAAATTATTTCTTACATTTTCTTCCTTCAATTCATTCGTTCTTTTGGAATCATCGCTTCGTTTATAACTCAGCTATATTAGATACTAATATTACAGAGATGATTTTGCTTCATATTTCAAATAATTCTTCTTGTTGTGTTGATGTGACTGATGTGACAACTTAGATTGATGTTTATTTACGTGAGTGAGTAAATCATTCTGACTTAGTCACCTAGTTTATGTTAATTACGAGTAGCGTACTACATAAAATCAAATATATCAATTCTTACATAGTTTTAGGTTTGTTAGATGTGATAATATTGTCACAATCAAATTTTTGCGACAAAACTTTAAAATCAAAGTTACTTTCAAGTACTTGTTTATTTGTTACTGATTTAACAATATAACTGGGTTAGATACAATCAGACACAGCGATCGAATAAGTAAAGAATAGGGAAAACATTTGGTTAGTTAGTTTTTTATATTGGTTATTTCGGCTTAAGCCGTTGAGTTAGACGAATAGCTACTCAATAGACCATTTCGCTCTTCAAATACAATCATTTCTCATTTTGGGTAAATTTAACTACATTAAAAACTGGGTGACAGGTGAAATGACCTTGAAAAAAACCGAACTAATTTTAGCCACTTAAAATACGTAACTCCGATCATTAAATTCTGATCTCAGATCAAACAACTTACATATTCGATATTGTTTTTATTTAACGAATGAAATTGCCTACATTGCTTATCAGTTCTTTTGTCTTGAAGGAGGTAAATAAATTCATATATATGATTCAAAACATCTTTCCTCAGGAGCCTTCGCATTATCTTAAATAGCTACCTGGAAGATCTTAAATTTTTCTCAAACTCTGATGTGTGTTCTTGCTGTGATCATTGAAATTTCATAAGGAGTCAGTCATCAATACTCAATTGCCCACAGCACTTTAACTTTTACAGAACAACTACAGATTTGTCACATCCAGTGCATTATAAAACGTATTATTTGTGAAAAGAAATATCACTATTTCTCGAACTTCTGTTTACGATCTTTGCGGATAGTCGCTGTAAATCTCGTTTAAGAATTATCAAGATGTGTTCAAAAAATTCGTTAATATTTTCAAACTGTCACATATCAGTTTCTAAAATGTGGTGATGTATCAAATAAAAATGAGTAATGATTTATATTGAACAAAGACAAATTTCTGCGCTCTATTACAAATATTTCTTAAAATATTTGTGTTTACCATAGTATACTTCGATTATGCTGTATACTGGGTCAATCACTGATCGATCATCGAAAATTTATATGACAGCGTATCCCATACAGATGGTGGAGAAAATTTGCAGCTCAGGTGGATAGTTATGATGGAATTTCATTCTCTAAGCTGTAGTTTTTGGTTATTGAGCTTTCGTCGTTTGAGGAATATGAAAGCCTACTACGACGACTGAGAAAATTAAATTCCTAGTGAAAAGATAACAATAACAGGATTCATTTGGACGTTTTAATAACTGAAAGATCACTGACTAGGTGTTTGTATCCAAGACATCAAATACTTCTGTTTCTTGCAGCGAACATTTTATTTTCAGAACGATGAATCATCATAGAATAATTGATATTTTTAACTTTAGTAATTTGGTTACACAGAGTGGGTATCATCCAGTGACATTGATTTGCAACCATTTCACTCTTGACATAACTGATTAGCTGATTTCTAACTGACAGTCTGAAGATGTCTTAATCACCATAAGACATAGAAAGCCTGGGTTCAATCCTACATAGAATCATAGGTGTGCTGTGCCAAGTAGACCTAAATTGGGGCTAAACAGCTGTTATGTTCTCCAAAAAAACTTCAATAATCTCTAACTTTCCTTACATAATTAATATTTGTCTAACTTATAGTCATTTTAATGTGAATAATGAAATGAAATTATCAGTGCATAACTGAAAATAGGACACCAATATTTGAATATAATATAATAACCAGACAACCTTGAGTTATTACAAGATAATAAATACTGAATGGTATTTTTCATATGAAAAAATCGTAGCAAACTAATGTACTACATACGATCTATTAAACATCTCATTTTGCAGTATATACATGCTATGGTATTATTATATTCAAAAGATTATTCATTTTCTCCCTTACATATATCAAAAAACTACATCAATTATTTTATAAGACTTTTTGTATATAGTTTCTTTGTGAACATGATTCATTTATCTATGTTTACACTTAATAATAAAGTCAATGAATAATTTGTCTGATCATAGTTTTGTAATTAGGGTTTACTGTTGCATTGAACATTGACCATATGACAACCGTATTTGTTTTAAATAATGAGATAAAAAAAAATGTATTTATTCAACACTATCTGTAATTTTAGAAAAAAATAATCAACAAAATAGTCAAATTTCCAACTACAATTAGTTCAAATCATAACATTGCTGATCATCAGATTACCACTGTGTGTTACTACTCATTCTATTCTGCACTGATGAGAATTCGGCATTAAAATGATTAACGAACTAAATATTATGTGTCTACAAAATTTGTCACAATCTAGATCATCGTATGATCGGGAAATTTGTAGCGATCGTGCTTGCTGGACATGCTGGAAAGACTTGTTAAACGAGTACCGTTGAAGCGCATAGGATTTCTTGTTCATTCGTGTCAATCAGTCAACCAGCTTGATCATTAGTTGTATTGTCATTATCGAGATTGTCAATTTGAAATAATAATTACTATAGTACTGTACAAATGTTATATTTTGAAATTATTTTTTACAAATAAGTAGTATATGTCTATTCATGTATACATACATGTCAGAAACAAATAATAAAAAGTATAATTGTATCTTACAAAACGAATAAGAATGTACATGTGTATTATGCATATCACAGATTGTCATATTGCTCTTCCGACATCTTCTAATCCTTTCAGATTATTTTATTTTCCTATCCTATGAGTTTCTTCACACGTAATATCAATAGTATTGACAGTATCATGATTGACTGAAATAGTAGTATTAGTATTAGTAGTAGTAATAATAATGGTCAATTTGCAAATGCACCCAATTCATTTCATGAATTTAGGGATTAACAAAAATGCCCTACCAAATTACTGGCAATAAAAATATACAAATAAACAAGGAAACTGAAATACAAATAGGAATTTCAGTGGAGAATAAAGAAAAAAAAGCAGAAAAGAAAATTTGTATAAAACAAAAAATGAAACACTGATTTATTTATTGTCCTTCCATTTTTGTTTTAAATTGTTGGATCATTTCCAACTGGACACTTCAGACAGTGATGCTGATGCTGATGGTGTTGAAATTTTCGATGTGTCATACGACGACGATGATGATGAGGAGGAGGATAAAGTTAAATTTAATTCTTTTGATAATTTCGCTGTTTGTTCACGTACATAATTGATCGGATCATTGTGATCATTGACTGGCACGCCATCTAATAATAATTTTTTAATTTGTTCATTCAATTTTTCAGCATCATGAAGCTGTAAAATAGAGGAAAAAAAACAATAATTTTTTTCGAAAAAAAAGACAAAAATTAGTGTCCCACTTTTTTTTTGTTTTTTGAAGGGAAAATGTCTGATAATTTTATAATGAGAAATAATAAAGTTTATAGCAAACTAAATAAGTGTTTGGGGATGGATTCTGTCATGTCCTTCTGTCTTGTTATTACTATAAAAGAGTTAAATTTCTCTTATTGTTGATACTCATTACGGAGTTTCGATCAGTCTTAGTTGATAGATCTAAATCCTATGGGGATTGACTTGATATAGTGTCGCCTGTATTTCAATGCAATTCACAATTGATCAACTTATTCAATTGTGAATAGCCTACGTTTCGCATTAGGCAATCTTTAAAATATTACCGTATTTAATAATACATTTTTAATAGTATACTAACTCGAATATGTAACAACTTCTGTATTAAACAAAATCCTAGTCAGTACTAAACACAAGTCAACACTTCAATGATGAGCGTACACAGAAAGAATAGTTTACAATATAAACATTGGACACTTAGAAAGACATCAAGAGTAGACAGTTAGTAAAAGCGAATGTTTGAATTTTATTCGTTGTATTGAAAAACACAATGATAATCATCTATTCGCGGCTTATTTAGATTTTTTAAACTGAATTCAGCTAGTGATTATGAAAATCAAATTGTCTAGAATAGAGAACAAATACACAGTCAGTTGATAAATCTCATCAACTACATCGTGATTAAAATTAAAAGGGATTTCTTTTTAAATTTCAGTTGACAAAAATAGATTATTTATTTCATTTATCGTCCAAAGGCTGTGTAACTATAATCACCATAATAAAATTTGTAATTTTATTAACGGAGTAACATGGTGAAAAGATTATTGTTTAATATACCAACGAAAAGTTGGATACTTGTAATGCTTCCTAAGGTATACACAGTTCCCTGAAATTTTCTAAGGCCTGTTTCATGGACTGAAGTTGTTTAGAAAACCACTGCTAACTAAGAAGCAAATGAATAGATACTTCTTTATAGAATGAGACTCTTAAACAGTCCTTATTCATAATTCCACAATGCCAATTGAACTTTCAACCATCAGGATGTAAGGCTAATGCTTATTATTTAGAATATCAACATGTTTTTTGCAGTAATGAACATCAAGATCATAAGCATCGGATAACTAGATGTTAAATTTTTATCTTTTTTTATATTAACAATGTAGAAATAGACATTTAAAAAGATAATAAATATTGAGATTAATTAATTAAAAATATAAATATATCTTACCTGAGCAATAAATATACATGAACTTAAACATGGATAAACTTCAAAGCAAACCATATCATGACGTAGATAACGTTCATAACAATGACGATGTTCCAAACAACTATATCCTTTAATACGACCACATTTATGTATTTCATAATATGCCCATCGTTTAGTTTTATGACGAATTATATTCTCATTTACAATACTTGTTGGATGTAGATTCACTATGTACAATTGTAATTTGACAGATATTATTAAACCTGAATTAAATAAAGCAGAAAAAAAGAATAGTTTGAAACATTTAGTAAAGATTATTTTATTTTGAATGCAAATAAAGTTGGACTTCCATACGTCTAAGATTATACAACAAAAGTGGTATGTTCAGTCAGTTTATCACTTAGTGGCTAAATATTGTTGTCTATAGTGATTATTAAGAATTATCATGACATAAAATGTTACATCTAGTAAACTTTGAACTGTATTTTAATCTGATTTTCTGTCAAATGGCTTGTCAATAAATCAGCCAAAGTGTTCCTAACGGAAACAGACAACTTCAATTTATTAACACTTGATTATGACTTAACTTACACCGAAATTTGTCGTAATAACTGGTTACCATTTGATGTAGACTGATTATCTTGAAAAATCGTTCATTCAGTTTGTTTAAGGTAAATTATGATTTTTAATGTTTAGATAAAAACAAATCTGAATATTTATGTTTTCGGAGCTGATTTATAATATTTTTGTCCAGTTAAGTTCCAGTAAAATCTATCAATAATGTATGTTTGCTGCTAATGATTGATGGTCGGACTAGAAGATAGCATCTTATCGAATAAGCAGATACTAATACCAATATAAGTATATTCATCGATATCCTCTTCAAGACGTATCAAATAGGATTCAGATTCTGTGCCATCGTTACACCAGATACGTCCACTGAATCAACCATTCGGAGAGACGTGTACCATGGAACTGGACGAATGAATGTGAGTCGGCAATTTATAGACGGATATCTTTAAAGAGCTGCGAAATGTTGCCAACTAATAGTGACTCCATGTTACTATTCATTGTGGTGGCCGATGGCTTAATCCAAAGTGTAAACACATTTTTATCATAATTACCCATGGATCGAAAAAGAAAAGTCATTATATGTGCTACTCGAGCACTAACCTTGACGGAAAGAAAATTAGGTCGAGTGGGAAAGGAAGCTTTAGCCTTGGAATTTGCTAAACGTCTCTTCTGCATGTTTATGTATGGTTGTAAATCTATTTTATGAACTACTATGACTGCGGCGGTGGGTTGTTTATTGCCCGAGTAAACTCAAAATGATCGCGCTTTTAAGCCACAACTTAAAATAACTGAACCAATATTAATCAGGCTGGAATTCTGTCACAGTAAATAATTAAATATGAACTATGTTCATAGAATTTCAACACATTCTAACACTTATTGGTATCAATCAAAAATACTGAAATGTTTAAAACATTTTTTCCCAGTTTTATATTCGGTCAATATCATAAAGCTTCCTCAGTAAAACAGTTGTTTTTACCTCAGTGTGGCAGAAAAAAAGTAGTAGCTTCGTTCATGTTATTCAAGTTGGAGTTACGAAGTTTCAATAATAAAGCAATCAATAGTGTGAACTTATTTCTCATTATGAAATAAATTTAGATTTGGGAATACTAGACATCTGTTACTTGTTAATACATAACACCTCGAGAATAATCACTTATATATTTATAAGAGAATCGGACCTAAGAATTCCGTGTCTGAGTACTACCAGCATCGATGGATGAAGACTGTGAATTAATATAACTTCAAAATATCGACCATGTTCTGCGCTAACCAATATCTTCATTGTTCAAATACATCACGGTTATGTGTGCAACTGAATAGGCATTCAGTGTCTTCTGATTTTGATTTCTTATCTCTTAATTAACTTAGAAATCAACAGTATTTAGAATTCCCTAATCTTTCATTGAAAATGAACTAAAGCTTAAGTCAACTTTAAAATTCTTTAACAATAAATGATCAGTAGTTATTTTCAATAAATTCCATAATAACTATAATTCGTGTAGTTTAGTGTTTTTTTAAGTATCGAATTCAATCAGTAAATATACTAACTAAACCAAATTAGTTAATTAATTAGTCAATTAGCTGATTGATATAAAATTCTTTGTAATTAAGAAAATAAAAAGTCAATGAATAAATAAGTACTTTTTTTCGAATTGTGGACGACCTTTTCAAACTGTTTATTTTTGTTTTGAAGTCAGTTTAATTGTACAGAAAAACAAACAACAATTCACGCATGTTGTATCACTTAAAAAAAAGAACGAACGGTGCCAATTCGAACATGTCGATCAGTTGGTTGTAGAGCGTTGATTGAAAAAATAACATTACTACTTATTTAAGTAACTCAGTAATGTTTCATTCTTTCTTATTGAAATTTAAACTAATTTCTCGCTTGTTTTACTGTGTTTGAATTCAACAATAATAATGCTATTCACTTCTTAACGTAATAAATCAACCGGATTCAATTAAAGTACAGTTACCCGGTTTAAATTTTTTCATAAGCCAAGTTTCGTCAACTAACTTCAGTTATTGTCAATAGTTACAATCATGTTGTTTCATCAAGATGACTTTGACTGGGAAATAGAAAAATTGTAAATTTCGACTATGAACAGTCTGTTAGAGGACAACATTCAACTGCCGGAGTCATCAGAACTTTTCAAAATAAATTTGAAAATATCGTAAAATGTGTTCACTTGTGACTAGTTTTGTGAGGAGATTCTCGGAATGCTAGTGAGAAGACATGACCAGTGGGTTTCAACCCTGTTGGGTGCAGGCAGTAACTACCAAAAACAAACGGGTGAGGTCGCGAAAAATCCCTAGATCAATCTGAGTTAGACATTAACACCGTTGAATACGGGCCCAGTGGTCCAGAGGTTAGGCGTTCGCGCACAAGACTGAAGGTCCCGAGTTCGAATCGTGCGAAGTACAGGAGTCGTCTTGATCAGTTCCATACTAGGACGAAACAGCCGTCCAGGTTTCTAATAATTGTCTAACAATGATTGATTGATGATTTCAAATGTGTAAAAACACTTAAAAATAACTTTCAATACAATACTGCTTCGACAGCTAAAGGCTACCAAATAGTCATTTCGTATTAGTTCTATCCTTCCAGAAAATGTATATACACGATGTTTGATGGAAGTGAATCTGATATTTCTAAGTTTCTTGGCAAGTACGATCTCTAACCATAAACTTTTGAAGCTGTTAGTTTATACGTTCGATTTAATTTTTATTAAACAATTATTACTTTACTTCCTTCCCACTTGACTAACATTATCATTCACAGATGTTCACTTGAACGTCAAGCAATACATGGTGATTCTAATCTCTTACCCCTAAATTATTATTTCATTAAAGGTATCAGACAAATTTTCAGCATGAATTATAGCAGTTTTTAGTTTAGTGATTAATGAAATTTAATTGAATTTGTAAATAGTTTTCTTTTCATGACATGAAAACGATTTCTGAACCAACCATTTGTAATCATGTCACATCGTATCTTCTATTCAATTGTTTACACAAGCGTAGCTGTGTGAAATAATATTTATTCGAATAGCTATTTTGGTAAATTGTAAAAAATTTAAACAAGCACTCAATGTTATAAAAAATTGGTAAATTTTAACAAATGATGACAAGTGAGTTTCAATTAAGCCTTCAGTGATTGTTAGTTGAAAACTGTTGAATTTTTTCAGTTACAATTGACAGTTAATTAGAACTTGATACTATAAATACTAACACATAATAATTATATCAAAACAATGTAATTTTAGCAGAAAACAGTTTATACAAATGCTTTATATTCAACGAACACAGAGAGAATTAGTGTCAAACAACTTGGTATACATAGTGACAGATATGACCTTAAAACATAGTCGAAACAAATTTTGTAAAAACAGCAAATTCTACGACTCCCGACGTCATGATCATTTAAATTATGCTGAAATTATAGAACAAAAGATATTGCAAAATATTTTATATTGCAGATTAAAGTTAATGGAAATCGTTTTCTAGTCCTAAGACTTGTTATACATAATCTCATCAGAGGCGACGATGAAACAGTGATATGTTAATCATTTGAGAACAGATAGATTCAAGTTGAAAAATGTAAATGAATTTGATTTAATCCAATGCATACTTCATGAAACATAGTTCTTATAAACTGTAAAATCATAGGAAAAAACAGCTACCTGTGGTTTTTAGTGGTAACTCAGTTGATTCTATCTCATATCTTATCTACTGCATGTAAGCATAGATATATTATTATCATTTAGCAACATGTTTAATAGAATACCCGTATAAAGTTTGAGCTCGTAATTAGTAGACATGTGTGTGTTTGTTTTTGTATTAACTGCCCCAATGAATCAAGAAAAACAAGTGTTAAATATTATCCAAGACATTAAAAATAATTACACATTTTTGAAACCATGAATCGATCAATGTTAGACCACCATTAGAAACCTGGAAGCACTGGACGGCCGTTTCGTCTTGGTATGGGACTCCTCAGCAGTACGCATCCATGACTCCTGCACCCCGCTGGATTCGAACCCAGGACCTTCGGTATTGTAGGCGCATTGCTGAGGAGTCCCATACCAGGGCGAAACGGCCTTCCAGTGCTTCCAGGTTTCTAATGGTGGTCTAACATTGATCAATTCATGGTTTCAAAAATGTGCAACTTAACAATCTTCACAACCCCGTAGTTAAAAATAATGACTCCCATTGTACTGACAGTCTCTAGTATATTTAAAATATTTCATTAAATGAACCAGTTTCACAATAGCTAGATGCCGAATTTATGGAATACCTATAAAAACAGATATTATATTCGTACAAATCTAAACGATTGAAATTTATGCATTATTAATTTCGACATTTCGCTTGACAATCTAGTATGAATTTCCCCAGGGAAAAAAAAAATCGAAAATCGAAATTTTACAATATATTTATAGCTTACAAATTAAATCTTAATTTTTCAAATTGTGATTATGAATGTAAGTAATTGATGTGAGATGTGTGTGGTGAAAACATTGATACACGAGTGAATATGAGGCTGTGTGAAAAATCTATCGATCATATGCACTGCCCTTTGTCGTATTAAATTAAAGTACAAATCATATTTAATATAGCATGCATAGAATGTGAATTACTAACCGTATAACTGTACTAATGATTTGAATTGATTTTTCTGGTTGGC